CCATGATGGTCCAGTGGTGCAGGTTGAGTTGGCGGACATAATTGGCTTTGCTCGTTCTGCTCTAGGGAGATGCCTTCAGGCTTGTGTCTTTGCAGTCGTTTATTAACATTTAATACGTATGCTGTTTTCCTTCAGACAGACAGAGGACCAAGCCCTCTCTCTTCACTGCAGCGTGTTTGCCAGCATCCACGTTTAATACAGTGTAGTCAGCTCTGGAAACATCACCCTGCTGATCTCAAGGCCATGTGGAGGGGGAGGTGAATGTGACGGCAGCTCTCGTTTGTCGCATGCATGACACTTTGTGCTGCTCATCTAAGTCGGCTCTGGTACCTGCTTTATTGTCCTCCACCAACAACCTGAACCCACAGGCCACCTATTTTTCAGAAAAGAAAACAGTAAAATTTGTTTGGATTTTGAATGTGATTTTAAAAAGTAATGCTTTTAACAATACTGTTGTCACTAAGAATCATTACAGAGAACCCGTACCATTATAGGTATAGTGAAATTATGAAAATGAACATTTACATTTATCTTCCGGCCATCCAAGATGTAGATGAGTTTGTTTCTTCACCAGAACAGATCTGAAGAAATATCCAGTCCATCCATTTAACATCTTCTAAAGTGAAAAGCTGCATGTTTGAATGGAACAAATACATTATAAAGATGTTTTTAAATTCAAACCATTGCTGCGGTCTAAAATACAAGTCCTCTATCTATAATATTGCTTTCTCCAGTGAAAAAGTCATCTCATCTGAATCAGGAGAGAAATATGCACAGATCAAGCACTGATTACAAGCAAAAATAGTCCAAAACAGTTCTAAACAAATATGTTGGTGGATTTTTATGTGAGAGATCAATAGGGGATGAACTTTTTCACTTAAGGATTATTATGGATTATAGATTATGGACTCGTATTTTGGCCATGACTTAAAGTTAAAATGCCTTAATGATGGATTTGTTTCTTACAAACACGCAGCTTTTCACTTCACAAGACGTTAATTGATGGGATGGAGTGTTGTGGATTATTGTGATGCTTTTAGTAGCTGTTTGGACTCTGACGGCACCCATTCACTGCAGAGGATGCATTGTTAAGCAAGTAATGTAATGCTAGATTTCTCCAAATTTGTTTCGAAGAAGAAACAAACTCATCTACATCTTTGATGGACTGAGGATGAGTAAATTTTGAGCAAATTTTTATTTTTGGGTGAACTATTTCTTTAATCATAAAACAGTGAAATGGGTGAAGAACTCCCTTGAGTGAGAAAAAGCAACTTGGTAAGCAGGATAAAAATTAAAGCAAACAAAAACACCCCTATGGAGAAGAAGCCATCTGCCTGTGCTAGGCACACATTTCTAAAAATGAATCATCAATCTGTTCTTAAACTATAGTAAACAATTACATGACTCCAACACTGTGTTGAAAGGCAGCAACGTAAATAAAATGATCCACCTATGTGGCAATAAAGGAAATGAAGTCCATATTGCATATAAATCAGCGCAGGAAAAACATCCGGCTACTCCAGGCAGGCCACCGACTGGGCTTTGGCCATGCAGAGAATTGTGTTACAGAAATTTCTTCTATTTCAAACGCGGTGATAAACTCAAAGTACACCATGAAACAATAAAAAACGCTGACCAAACAGCCTCAGTGTCACCCGCTGTGCTCTTTGGCACCTCGGAGTGTTCGTGCTAAAACTCGGTCTTACGTAAGCATAAGCTGAGATCATTGCATTTCTGAAATAATTGCCTAGAAATATTCCCAAGCACCAAACTTCATCTGGTTGAAGACTCTGAACAATAGAGATTAGAAAGCATAAAGCCTTCTCTGATGAATTGAAATAAGAAGCATGCGCTGTAGTTGTGCTGTCAGACATTGTGTTAATTTCATTACAAAAAAGATTTTACAAATATTTGCAGAGTTGCATCCAGTCACTCTTTGATTTAAAACAGAATCGTGGGATTGGGCTGCAGCGCTGTAATAAAGCCAACAGAGCAAATACAATAACGTATGATCTGTCAGCAAACACAATGTACACAGAAAGCACAAAAGAACGCGCTTTCCTCTATCCTGATATTGATACTTTTCCTATTTTACTGCAGCACACGCACCGCTGAAAGATGCCTGATTTCTTGAATGCTCTAAATCAGCTGATAAATAATGCATACACATTTATTGATCAATATTTCACTAGGTGGAGGTTGCTGAGGAATTCTTGAACAGACCAATAATGCCTTGCGTGATAAACATTGTGTGTTTTCCTGCCATTGACTCAAGGATTCGAAGGGACGTACGCTTGCAATTGAATCTGACAGTATGGTATTACAGCTCATAACAATTTGTGCATCTTACTGCCTCTAATGACACCTGCAGTTATTGGCAAAGTGAAGGTTAAGTTAATGAGCTGTGGACGGTTATCAGTGCTTTGCATCCAGCAATGAGTTAATAAAATATCAAACCACTGGATGTATTTGCACAGTCCAAGGCTGTGCATGCATTTCTTGGCTTGGTCCTCGAAAAAAGATTTCTGAACCAATGCCATCAGAGTAAATGCTCAAGGGCAACGCAGACTCCAGAAACTTCAGTAAAAAAAAAAAAAACAGCCCAGCACTGCAACAGCCTATCAGCCTTAACCTCAGCTGCATGTTCTCTGCAGTGTGTCTCCCATGTTCTACCTGGTCAGGCATGATAAGCTTAAAAACTCCATCACAGTGCCTGTATTATGCATGGTTTGTTCAGCAGCCTCAACATAGCACAGTGTATAAAGATGTTGTGGTTGACCATGTCCCACGTTGCTACATTTATTCTCAATATGTATCAAACTAATTATTACACTATTGATCGATCTGTTGATCTATGTGTCATCTGAAACTGGAAATAATAGTGTTATTCTAGTTAAAATCACAGTAGCAGAATGATATCTTTTCTCACATTCTATTGAATGTCCACAAGCATGTAAGTTATAGCACAAGCAGTATCAAAACATTAATTTGAACACTTATCCAGGCTCGTTTGAACACTGTTAGTGCTACAGAACACTATATATTTTTCTCTCTCCATGTGAGCAATGCCATATTGTTGTGGCCACACATTTTTACAAAATGTACAAAATTGCCTTTCCTATTCAGTCTATGTCATGTAAATGTTTGCATATTGCTTATGTAACATCAATTAAATTTCAAGATTTTTGGGAACCCTTTATCTATCTATCTATCTATCTATCTATCTATCTATCTATCTATCTATCTATCTATCTTTTGCTTCTATTTCACTATATTTTACCACAAAACACAATGTTTTCTTTTTAGGCTACATGAGGAAATTGTTTTTGGCATCTGAATACCAATTATCTGGGATCTTTTAAACGTTTCATTGCATGCCTTTCATTATGATTTAATTATCAACCCCTCCCCCACTTTTATATAGAAAAGACGAGAAAACATTGCAATGGAGAGTCTTCATTTAGACGTGATAAACGTTACGGGAGGAATGTAGGCTACTGATACTGCACGATGCTATTTGCATCAGATAAACGTCTGTAAAAAAAAAAAAGCACGGAGCTAAAACTGCCTTTCATGCCATTATTAACGACATTATCCAAGATGTAGTATCTCATACACATACATACACACCTCACATTACTTGTTTATCGTCGCAAAATATAAAAACGAACAGCAAGAACAACAAAGACGGCGTTGAGAGGCTCTCTTTAGACGTTACGTTGAGTCTGACATCATGGGAGCTCCGCAAGCTTAAAAGAGACGGTAAAAAATACAACGGGAGAATCACAGAAGACTCTCATTGTGGAATGATAACGGCGTCTCCTGTCAGCTCCTCTTCCCGCCTCAAGGCAGCAGCAGTCACGTGACAGCAGCGAGGACTCGCAGACCGAGAGAGAACGAACGCGCTTCATTCGCCATACTGTGTTTTGTGCCATAACGCATTTTTATCGCAACATTTTACTCCCACTCGGTGAGTACGTTTCCAGGCCTTTTTGTAACCCTTTTTGTCTTTTCACTTGCTCTTTTTTTATTTTTTTCTCTCTCCTTTTGCTGGGGTTTGAGCGTTGAGATTTGAAAAAGTGTTGTTTTGA